ATACAAGGAAGCTGTCTGACTGCCAACTCGAATATACTAAAGCAACATTTGAGAATACCGCACTCCACCAAATTGTTACCGGTATCGAACAAGTTTTGGCTTATAACCAACAAACACTAGGTGCTGTTCAAGATACCAAAAGGGCTTATATCAGCGTCAAACTTTAAGGATCGCAAAGCCACAGCCCCGTGTTGGGCTGCATCGACCTTTGGTGGGTTTGGTCGATCTTCTGTTAAATAAAAGTGTAATTAATTTTGAAAAGTGCATTATCTGACGAAGTACTCTCTTAGATTAAATGGTGAACACCTAACTTGAGTGCCTATATGGCATAGTCTGCAACGCCTTTGCTTACTCAAATGGTGAACACTCACACGAACTGTTGCAAAGCGCGTTAAGTATTCCGGAACGCTGGTAAAAAAGGCATACTGAATGATAAGCATGCAAAAACAGTTGCGCTTCACTTTATAAGGAAAACTAAAATTCTAAATCTAATATAAAATGAAATACACTGCACTTTGGCTTATCATATTTTTTTAGCAACTATCTACGCTTATAGCCAAGCAACTAATTATAAGATTACTGAACTGCTGTGGAACCGCGTCGATAGTGGCCATTAAAAAGTTAGCACACATATTTGGTATGGGTACCAAGTCATGCAAGGACATAAAGGTAAGGTTAATTGCAAGGCAGACAAACTTGTGAGGACGGGAACTTGCCCATTTGGCGTAATTGTTCTTCGAAAAAGAAAGTAAGGTGGTCAGAATATACTTGTAGAACAACCTTACCAATTTCGCCCAACAGCAACAAGAAAATGTTGGCCCATTCAGTCGTCTAGAATGTTTTTTTCTTCGATAAGTAACCGCAATCATAACCTCACTAGCAGCTACTTAATGAGTAGGCATGTTGGTGGAATGAACCTGCCGGCCAATAACAATGCCTCAGCTGGTGCAATGAGGTAAAAAGTGAAACAATAAAGGACTATCACGGCCACTGACTGCAATAGAGAGGATAGAATACGCCCATTTTTACCACGACGCAGTGTTATAAGGCCTTAGGAAATAACGTCACATGACTTATTTTATTTTACATTGAGAAATAAGGCCATATTTTTGCGTATTGTCTTAATTATCACTGTGAAAGTGAAATAACGCCATTATGACGTTATTGCACCGTTGATAATTTTTTGTGTAATGTTTACTTAGCGCCAGAGCTGTAAAACTGTGAAATCATTTAAAATTTTAATCATGAAATATTTACAAGTAGGATTTCATTCATTTTCCTTTGGTCTGGTAGTGTGGCTTATATTTTTTTCAATATACAATCATTAAAAAAAAATTGATTTCACACAGTAAGGTAGTAAATACCTGAATGAAAAACTGAGAATGCTGAAGTAAACAGAATTCAATACTGAATTAGCTTCCAGATGAATGAACACTTTGCTATGTGTGCATTCTCTAATTCAGTTCCAATCAAATTTTATACACTAAGAAAAATATGTAAGTTTAAATGATGGAATAATGAGGTGTATGAACTTTAAAACGCTATTGACATAGTGTCGCGTATCAATGCACAGCGGCCACGCGGGCTAAGCCATGTCCTACGAATGAATGGTTGTGCTTGCACTCCTCCACGCATGAAACGGAGCTTGATTCACATGAACATATTGTACAAATTTATAGTTTTGGTTGCTTGAAAACTGAGTGAAAAATGTTCCAAGACAATTAGTATCTATAACTTTTTTCTTTTAAAGATTGGAAAATCTGCAGAACATGAAATAATCAAGCATAACAACCATCAAATGATAGCAGCTTTTATCATTCAGTCCATGGTTTATCCACATACATATAATGTCTTTTTTTAAATACATATGTGCCAATTTTCGCGCGGCCACCCTTTATGATCAGTTTTTATTTGAAAAGAACGATATTCTCATTTCCCAATACCAGGCGCTTATGCATGTGAAGTAACACGTTTTCTATTTCTACGTACAAAATTGTTTGTATAAATTTTTAAATTTCCAAAATTCTACTTTGTGTAGTTCAAAGGCTTCTACAAAAAAAAATTTATTTAAAAGTTCTACAAACAAATTTATACATATAGAAAGCTAGCTACTTCATATGTATGAGCGCCTGGTATTGAGAAATAAAAATATCTCTTTGTACAAATAAAAATTTAGCTCCTTAAATAAAATTGAGCGCAAGTTTCCTTTAAAAACATGCAGTTGGTTTTAAACAGCATTGACAGAACATCCAAAGCTGGTACGTACTTCTGGTCTTAGGTAATGCTTTACCATAGCAGTAGTACAAAAGCAGAAGTAAAACGACTATTTTCTCCTATAAATATTTTCTTCAAGGCATATTTTTTCAGTGTAGTACTGAATGGTCAAAACTGTTTGCATTCAACCAAAATTTACAATCACGATGATTGCG